CCTGAGCATCACTGGGTAAGGGCTAAACCCTATCCTGCCCTAAAAAAAGAGAGGCAGGGGAGAGTACCAAGGGGTACGAAAGACCAGAAAGTCCAAGAATGATGAAGTAGAGATGTGGGGACCAGCAGAACGAAAAGCCCCCTGTTTGCTTTTGAAAGTTGATGACGGTTGCTCTTTATTCTAGGAGACAGGGTAGATGTTGTGGGCCACAGTGGGGGTGCTTGGGGCTTACTCGGGAAGGGCCTAAGGGACCCTTTCAGTTCGTGCAGCCAGAGTCATGAATGATCTCGGAGTTCAGCGTGGGGCCCAAGTGGTGTGGCCTAAGCTCATCCCCTCCTCAGCCCCACTCTGGCATGACCCCCTGCGGGAAGAGGGGGATCCAGCGAGGCCCCAGAAATTGCAGGAGCTGAAGAGTATGTGCAATTTTCCCTCGCCGTGAGTTTCTTGGACTCTTGACTATTTGAATGGTTTTGGGTTTTTTGGTTTTTTCTTCTCTAAAGGCGGCATTTGACAAGGATTTCTGAAAGCCTGGTGAGCACAGAAAATATAGGATCTCGTTGTTGACTCAGGGAAGGGTAAATGTCACTTGCGGAATATTTGAAAAGCAGATGGAAATGGTGAGGGGCGGTGGGGGGGAGAGGGGGTGACAGAAAGTTACTTCCCAGGACCCAAGTGATAGCACAGTGGGTAGGATACTTGCCTTGCACGCGGCCAACCCAGTTTAGATCCCAGCATACCAGAGGGTCCTCCAAGCCTGCCAGGAGTGCAGAGCCAGGAGTGACCCCTGAACACAACCAGGTGTGGCCCAAAAACATACAAAAAAAGAAGTTACTTCCTCAGGAGATATTAGGTGTCTAAGGTCTTAGACCTTAACTCTGGGATGTGGCTGACCTTGGTTTCATCCCTGAATCCCCAGGTTCCCCCGCATGGCTGGGAGCAGCACTGTGAACTATCCTCCCACCCACAAATCAAAAAGATTAGGAACTGGAGAGGTAAGATAGCCCACAGGGTGCTTGCTTTGCAAGCAGTCAGCTCAGGTTTAATTCCCCAGCTCCACCAAGAGTGATCCCTGAGTGCAGAGCTAGGAATAAGCCATGAGCACCTCCAATGTGTGGCCCAAACCCAAAACGAAAAAAAAAAAAATATATATATATATTTATGGAAAGGAAATTAAAAAGATTTCCTTATTTTGAGGGAAGGGTATTTCTAATGGCCAGGTGATGCATGGGACCAGGAAGAGAGAGGTGTTGGAGACCAGGGCCCCCTCTTCATCTCAACATGGGTCCTAAGATCTCCCAAAAATGATCAAAACATATTCAACTCCCTAATATAGATGTTTATTCAATAATATATAAATTCAGTTTCTGGGGCAGGAGCGATGGTACAGCAGGCAGGGTGCTGGCCTTGCATCTGGCTGATATATTTGGTCCCTGGCACTCCACCAGGTCCAAGATCCATCAGTAGTGGTCCCTGAGTACAAAGCCAGAAGTAAACTCTAAGTGCAGTTGGGTATGGAAAAACAAAAACCAAACATTTGGAATTTTATGGGTTTTGAGAGAGAGGGAAGTTGTTGGGACAGACCCAGAGATGCTCAGAGACCGTTTCTGGTAGAGCTCAGGACAACATGGGGTACTGGGAATCAAAAGTCTTACTCACTGTACTACCTCTCAGGCCCTCAAACCCAGTTTCTTCTCAGTGGCACCAACAAAACGTTCAGTGCTCCTGGCCCAAACATACTTTCCCTTTGACTCTAACCCTGGCATGAAGCCTAGAGCTGAGGTAAAGCCTTTTTAGACCAAACAGGTGTTTGTTTTGGGCCACACCAAGCAGTGCTCAGGGAACCACAGGGGAGGCCAGGGACGGAATCTGGGCAGACAGCATGCAAGGCAAGCACCCTCTCCACTGTACTACTGCTCTGGCCTCAGGACTATGAATTTAATGGAGACTCCTGGGTCCCACTGGAGTTGCAGGGGCTGGGCTGGCAGACACTTGGGTGTGAGCCACAAGAAGGAACAATTTCACTGCCTCCAACCTCAACTATATGGTTTCTGTCCAACAAACATGACAGCTGCTGGCCAGATACGACGGTGGTGACAGCACTGACCTGGCATGCAGCCAAGTTAGGGCCAATCCCTGGCCTCCCACAGGGTCCCCTGAGTACTGCCAAGAGTGACCCCTAAGCCAACAACAAAACAAAACAACAACAAACACTAGAGAGGCACTCAGGATTGTGCTGAGTACATCCAGGGCCAACCCGTGGTGTTTTATTGTTAAAATAAGACAGAGTCGCTTCCTCTGGCCACAGCCTGCAGTGCTCGGGATGCTACTCCTAGCTCTAGACTGAGAATCCCCACCCTTACCCCGACTCTAACGCTGAAAAGTAATTCCCGCTCTGTGCTCGCGAGCTCCCTCTGGTGGTGACTGAGGGCTACTCCTACAGGGTACCCAGCACCTTCCTTGCAACCCCTGGGTCCCCCTGATTACCCGCCCATCAACACAGCTGCCCTGCGACTGTGCTGGCCCAGGTGCAGGCATTGTGAGTCACACAGCTGAGGGCCAGCAGTGGACAGGGCTGGACATGGGGCCAGACTCAGAGCAGCTGCTGAGCATCTCCTGCACATCCACTAGGTAAGAAAGGCCAGATTCTTGGGAGAGGCTTGGGAAAGAGGAAGACTAGCCCACCTGGTACCCTGGAATACCTCCCCAGTCTGCTCCAGAGACCAGAGCAAATGTCAGGGCTGGCCAACCTCTGCTCAGTGATGCATGGAGGCCAGGCCATGGGTTGAGGGAACTCGGCTTCCTTTCATTCTGCTCTCCCCATGATGAAGAGAAGAGCCTCTTCGTGCCAGAGACAGGATATGGGAGAACAGGCTTACCTCACGTGCAGCTGCGTGGCCCCACCCCTGGTTTAATCCCTAGCACTTCCCCCAAGCATCACCAGGAAAAGTTTCTGAGCAGTCAGGAATGGACCCCTGAGAATCTTGGAGTGTGGCATCTCCCAAAGGCAAAAAAATAAATTTTAAAAGAATGGGACCAGAGGCCAGAGCTATTGTATAGTGGTAGGACACACGCTTTGTATATGGCCAATACAGGTTCAGTCCCCAGCACTCACAGGGTCACCTAGCAGCATCAGGAGTGATCTCTGAGCACAGAGCCAAGAGTCAGCCCTTAGTACCTCCAGGTGTCACCCTAAAGCCAATCAAAAAAAGAATCAGAGAGAAGAGAAAGCACAGGAAGGAGGGCACTTGCCTTGTATATGGCTGCAGGGTCCCACCATAGTTCCAACCTCTGGCACCACGTAAGGCCCCTCAAACACGTGCAGGGGGCACTCCCAAGCATGGAGACAAGAACAATCCCTGAGCCCCTGCCGATGTGGCCCCCAAACCAAAAGGAAGAAATGAAATGAAAAAGCAAATAGAATCTCTCACTGGCACCACAGGACCAGCACTGGGGCACTATCTGGGAACCCATTTCCTTGAGGGGTGAATTAGAGCCAAGGCAGGGAGTTGGGGGCCAGCACAGCCTGTACCTGGAGACCCAAGCCACCAGAGGCTCTGAACAGAGACCTGAATTCCCTGGCAACCAGGATCCTCTCAAAGGTGGGCGCAGGCTGGCAGGACTCCCTGACCAGCCCGGGGACCAGGCACAGTTCTAGGGGCTGGTATGAGATGGATCAACGGATTGAGTGCCAAGTTTGAGGTGGAGGGTCTAGGCTGTATATGTATCTGATGGAGGTCCTAAGCACCTTGGGACAAATTCTAATCGCCTAGGCCTAGACCCCGGCTCCCAACAGTTTTCTGTACTCAGGCAAGGATAATGCAAACCTTGGCCTGCTCCTAAGTTTGACTAAACTGTTCCCATCCCATCCCCGATCACCTGGGCGAATTCTGCCTTACTCTGATCGAACCTAGGGCCTGCCACGTCCAAAGCAAACACTGGACCACAGAGCCACATTACAACTCTCCCTGAGTAACTATCACTTCTCCCCTTTTTGGGGGGGGCAGACCTGGCGATGCTCAGGGATGGCTCAGGGATCCTCTTGGCAGGCCTCACGGGACCTTAGGCAGGTGCCGGGATCGAACCCAGATCCACGCTTTGCTAGGCACTGTAACTTCTCCTCTCTATTATGTCTCTGGGACCCTGCGCAGCTCTCGAATACCTGCCTCTTTCTTCTTCCACCTCTACCCTTCTTTTTTTGCTTTTTGGGCCACACCAGCGATGTTCAGGGGTTCCTCCTTGTTGGTGCTTGGGGGACCCTATAGGATGCGGGGGATTGAACCTGGGTTGGCCGCGTGCAAGGCAAAGGCCCTCCCCGCTGTTCCATCGCCCCGGGCCCCCCCAACCTCTTCCGGTCTAGTCCTCCTTTCCCCATCGCTCGCCCCAGGGTCGACCGAGCGCGCGGTACTCGCGAGAAGGGTCTGGGCTCGAAGGAATGGTGCTCTGGGGGGGGGGGGGGGGGTCCATCCGCACAGCCCCACCGCGATCAGGGGCCGGGCGGGGAGGGCCGGGATCAGAGGGCGGCCCGCGACCGCAGCTCATCCACGTCTCGCCTCGTCCCTTCCCAGCAGCGCCCCTGGCTCGACTTCATCATTCACGCCTCCCGGGTCCCACTGGGAAGGGCGCGACCCCGCCTCGTCCCCGCAGCGCGCACCCTGGACGCCTACGGGTGCCGGCCGTCGCGGCACGCCCAGCACCTGTGGGCGCGGCTGCAGCAGTTCTGGAATGATCACTTCTCGCGGCGCTTCTCGCCGCGGCGGCCCCCGCTGCGCCGCATCGCCTCCATGTCCAGCTTCTACCTGCTGGACCACCGCACCCGGCAGGCCGAGCTGGGACTGTGCTACGGAGCCCCACGTGCGCGCCTGGGCGACCGCGCCTTCGTGTTCCGCGGCGGCCGCTGGTGCGACGACGGCTCGGCCGGCCGCGCGCGGCCCGCGCTGCCCGCCCCGGACTGGAGGGCGCCGCGCGCGCAGAGCCAGAAGCTGCTGGACGAGAACAACTACCTGAGGCTGCAGCAGGAGCTGCTCATGGACATGCTCACCGAAACCACGGCGCGCCTGCACCTGCTGGAGCAGGAGGTCCAGCCCGACGCCGGCCAGGGGGCGGCGGCGGCGGCGCGCATCTGGCCGCGGAAACTGCGCAGGCGCGAGGGCGTGAGGCGGGGCGGCTCGCTCATGCTCGAGTCGCGCGCCCCGGCGTCGCGATGACGTAATAAATTCCGCACCGCGCAGGCGCACTCGCTTCCTGGAGCGCCGGCGGCTCGGCGGGGCGGCGGCGGGGGGCTGGGCCGGGGGCGTGGCTTGTGGTCGGTGGCGCATCCGAGAGGCCTGGAGAGGAGGCGGGGCTTGTGGTCAGTGGAGCGTCTCATCAGGGTGGCCTGAAGGCCGGGGCGGGGCGTGGCCCCAGGACTGCAGCCTGGGGCACCCAACAAAAAGGCAATAGTGGGGACCGGACCCGAGGCGCTGGTGCTATACTATAGCGGGCGGGCGCTTGCCTGCAGAAGCCCAACACTGGTTTGATAACCAGGCACCCCGATTGTCGCCCGAGCCTGCCAGTAGCGATCCTTGAGCAATGCTATGTGGGATCCCCAAACCGAGGCTGCCTTGCACGCTACTAACCAGCACTCCATACGAATGATCTCCTGAGTCCCTCCAGCAGTCTCAGGATCACTGCTGGAGTAAGGAGAGTCAGGAGTAAGCATAGGAACTGCCAGGAGTGATCTCAGAGCACAGAGCCAGGAGTTAAGTCCGTAGCACCAGAACGTGACCCTTCTACCCACCCCCAGGCCCACCCCACCCCACCCTTCGAGAGGCAAGAATGGAAGACCTGGGGTTCGAGAACAGAAGTAAAGGACAGAAGTATGGAGGCAAAGTCCAGGAGGAATGCAGGGCTTTGCGGAAATGGAGGGGCCCGACCAGGTGGGCCCAGACCCTGCTCTTGGTCTCCCGGAACCACAGTCTGAGTATGGGGCAAGTTTAGTTTACCCCACAAGAACCTAGTTCCCCCAAAGAGTCAGTGATCTCACTCCCAACCCCCACAGCCCAGAATGAGGCTGTCTGCCCAGGTACAAGGGATTGCTCTCCAAAGCTAGTCCTGCACTAGGGTTCACTCGGGTCTTTGTGATTATTTTTGGGGGGTGGGGAAATCACACCCAGCAATGCTCAGGGGTTACTTCTGGCTCTGCCCTCAGAGTTAAAACAAAACAAAAATATGGGACGCCAGAATTTTTTCTTTTTCTGGGGGGTGGGGGTGGGGGTGGACTACGGCCACATACTCCAGTGCTCAGGAACTCCAAGCAGTCCTCTGAGGAATGGATGGGAAGCTGGCATGTGCAAGGCAAATGCCCTATCCACTGAAACGTCCTGCCGCTTTACTATCACTCCAGCCTGAGTCCTCATAATTGTTAGTGCTGCTAACTTTCATATATTTCATGTGAAGAATTCAGGTTTCCAGCAGGAACATCTTTGCAATGGAGCAGCCTAAAGGATAAATTCACAGCACCATATGGTCCCGGATACTGAGCTGGGAGTGGCCAATCCTTAAAAAAAAAAAAAAAAAGAGGACCACAGGGGCTGTAGTAATAGTACGGGATTTCTGAGCACAGAGTTAGGAACACCCCCTGAGCACTACTAGGGTTTATTGTGAGCATAGAGTCAGGAGTAATCCCTGAGCACTGGAGTGTGTGGCCATAGTCCACCCCCACCCCCACCCCCAGAAAAAGAAAAAATTCTGGCAACTCATATTTTTGTTTTAACTTCTTGGGTCACACCCGGCAATGCTCAGGGGTTACTCCTGGCACTGCACTCAGGAATTACTCCTGGCGGTGCATGGGGGACCATATGGGATGCCGGTGCTGAACCTTGGTCAGATGTGTGCAAGGCAAATGCCTTACCAACTGTACTATGACTCTGGTCCATGGTTTCCCATTTTCTCTAAGGGGAAATATAAAATAAATAAAAGACCCAGGCAGTGGGGTTCTTGACTTTTTTCTTAATCAAGAGAGCATTGAGACCTAGGGATAAAAGTCTGTATCCATGCTGCAAGAGGGGCAGGGGGAGTTTTGGGGGTTTTTTTTAGGTTTTTGGGCCAAACCTGGGTATGCTCAGGGCTAACTCCTGAATCTGTGCTTAGGAATTTCTCTTGGCGAGCTCAGGGTACTATAAGGAGTACCAGGGATCAAACCCATAGCAAATACCCTACCTGCTGTACTATCTCTTCAGCTCCCTACAGAGGCAGTTTGAACAGAGTTGGTGGCTTTGCAAACTAGGCATCTTTGCCTCTGCACTAGGTCATCAGTGTAAGGTGGAACTTTGTGAAGCCCCCAGGCAGTAAATGGAGGTTCTACCCAGTGACTTTTGCTCCTTTCTTCCCGAGAGACCAGGCTTAGCTCCGTTCCATCCACTACCTCGGGATGTCCATTGTTACCCACACACACCATCTCCCAGAGAGGCTATTTCCTCAAAGGTCTGAAAGCAGCGAATGACCTTTGTCAATGCATAAGCATGAGGACACGGGTGTGTGCAGTCTGCAACCTTTTCCCCAGGAAGTCCACAGTTATTTCACCTTTTGGGACATCTCATGACCCAGATTGACGGTCCCCAACCTCTAGGACCATGTGAGGCTTTGTAGAGAATGTGGGTGTTCTCCTTCAGTCCATCTTTGCAGTAGATTTGGAAGGATGAAACTACTGCTCTGTATATGTTACCTCATGAAAACAGCAAAGCAGCTAATATTGTTACACAGACAGCTTTAAACTGGCCCAGAGGAATAGATTCAGTGGTTAAGACACTGGTCTTGCACACTGTAACCCTGATTCCATCCCCAGCACCTAGACCTAATATCTAGGCACATTGGCAGTGTATTTCCTGGGGTCCTCACAACCTAGGGTGTAACCCCTGACTTCAAAGCAATAAAGGGAAGGGAAGGGTAGGGGCTGGAGTGATAGCACGGTGGGTAGGGCATTTGCCTTGCATGGGACCGACCCGAATTCAATTCCCAGCATCCCATATGGTCTCCCAAGAACCGCCAGGAGTGATTCCTAAGTTCAGAGCCAGGAGTAACCCCTGTGCATCGCTGGGTGTGACCCAAAAAGCAGAAGGAAAAAAAGAAGGTAAAGGGAAGGGAAGAGGGCAACATTTTGGCTTTTGTATTTCCATTTTGGGGCCACACTTTGTGTCCCTGGTACTGCTCAGAGCAATGTCTTGGCTCTGCACTCAGGAATCATTCCTTGCAGTGCTTGGGGGAACTATATGAGATGATGGGAATCAAACCTGGGTCAGCTGCATGTAAGACAAGTGCCCTACCCACTGTACTTTCTAGTCACTGTTTTTATTTTTCAATGTCTCATAAACAGTGAGTGCTTTTTGTGTACGTGTGTGTGCGTGTGTGTGGGGTGTGTGTGTGTGTGTGTGTGTGTGTGTGTGTGTGTGTGTGTGTAAGGAATGTCACATCTGGCGATGCTGAGGGATTACTCCTGGCTCTGCTCTCAGGGATCACTGTGGGTGGGCTCAGAACCATATAGGCTGCCAGGAATCAAACCTGGTTCAGCTGCATCCAAGGTAAGTAACCTCCCTACCGTGCTATGGCTTCAGCCCCTGCCATTAGCATCTTGGTTTGAAGTTTCAAAGGTCACTCCATGTTCAGTGATCTGATACTCCTCAGGGGGCCATAGTGACAGTGATGGAACCCAGAATTTCTTTTTTCCTTTCTGAAAAGTTCCAGATCAGTAGGAAAGCAAAGAACCAAACAGCCGAGACCCCACCTGAGCTCCACAGGCAGGATGAAACTGGGTGGAATCTAATTCTGTTCTCTCTGTTCTTCTGCCCTTAACTCCAGGCATCGGGCAGCCATTCTCAAAGGAGGTGACATACCAAAGAGCTGGAACAAAGGGCACTTTGAAGCCTTTACCTCCTTCACCTAAGGAGCACTCTTTAGCAAAAACTATTTTCTGGCTTTATGTCAGGAGGCCACCATGGCTGGGAATTTGCTTATAGCCAGAAAAAGATCAATGGCAACGGGCAGGAAACCCACAGAACTTGCATCGCTGGGGAAAAACTTTTTCCCCCCCACGGCTTCCCGGTATAGTCAAGAGATCGAGCGTATGCCCAGCATGTGTGAGGTCCCTGGATTGATCTCTTCTTCAAGTGCCCCCAGCATAATCAAAAGTGGGCCCCATTAAAAAAAAATCCTAAAGATGGGAGATAAAGGATAGGGAGAAGGAGTTGGTCTTGCATGCCACTGACCCAGGTTTAGTTCTGAGCGCCACATATATTTCCCCAAGTCACACCAGGAGGGAGATGCAGTGGCGAAACCCTGGGACAGCAGCTCACCAGAGATCTCTCCAATTTCACGCGGCTCCCCAGAGGAGCGGGTGTCCCCTCTCCACCCACTCCAAATGAACCCTCGGTGGCCACAAACTTTCAGAAGAAAAACCCAGGTACAAAAAAATTCAGAAAAATATAGAACAAGGTCTGGAGATGCCAGGTCACAAGGCGGTGGAGAAAGTTCGTCCCTTCCTGTCTCCCCGCTCCTTTGGGGTCCAGTGTGTCACACCCACGAACTGCATCGGGGCCTTGATCCAGAGACTCACAAATGAATCTCAAAATGGATTAGCTCCCTACAGAGATGTCTCTGGACCCCAATCATTTATATATTTAGAATTCCAAAAGCACTCTGGCCATTTCTGCATGAACTCATGATATTCATAATAAGCAACAGAAAATAGATGATCTAAAATCTGCATGTGGCAGGCAGGCTTGACAGGTGGTGGGAAAATTCGAAATAATGGTGGCGGGAAGGTGTAATGGTGGTGGGATTGGTGTTGAAATATTGAATGTAATCAATTAATGTGAACAACCTTATGAAAATAAAAAAATTTTTAGAAGGTCATGCCAGGAGGCAGTCCTGAGTATATCTGCATAAGGCCCATAAATTGACAAAATGAAAAAAATCACTTCTTTTCTCGGAGGGGGATGCATACCCAGTGATGCTCAGGGCTTATTCCTGGCTTTACAACTGAGGAATTATTCTTGGCATGCTCAGGGGGCCACATGGGATGTTGGGATCAAACCCGGGTCAACCATATGCAAGACAAAAGCCCTACCTGCTGTACTATCTCTCCAGCCTCCCCCAAA